GGAGGAGGTAGAACGAGTAAAAATCCTTCAGATAGTAAAGTGTGGAAGGTAGTAGGAGTAAACTATACTTTTCTTGGACCGACCCCTCTATTTTAAGATGAGCGTATAGTTGTCACAAGTATAATGCCAGGAGAAAAATGAGAAACCTTATATAATAAATAAAGACAGCATATTGTCATTACTTTACCTACTGCTGAGTTTACTAGCTGCCTATATAAAAAGTGGATGATTAGAGCCTGTACCGAAAGTTTTATAGGCTGTTACACATAGATGTATCTGTTACGTGTGTTTGAGAATTTGGTCTATGGCGTTTATTCTCTGGTGTATGATATCTAAACTTTTTTGTAAACATATCTATTCATCACTTACCATGAATTAAGATTTCTAATTGTGTGACAGTAATGTTCCGCGATTGTTTTAGAAGCTGTACCGGTTCCAGCTTTTAGTATGCCAACCTGTATATTGGATCAACGATCTAAAACTCAAGTAATATTAACTGGCAAAAAGATCGTTACACATTATTCTACGAAGTATTGGATGTGTTGCTGAATGCTTCGACAATTCCATTTTCTGAAACATATTTTCGCCTTTGCTGTGCACTGAATGTTTAGCATCTACAAATGTGCAGAAAATCTTCAGTGGCTGCAGCATGCTTTCTATGTAGATCACCTCAACTGTGAACTTCGGGTTTCTGAATACAAGCTGGTTGCTTGATCAGTTGTAGAAGTATTCGAGTCTCTCACACAGAAAAGAATTCGTCAGATTTACTTGAATATAATAAAAGGGGCTTACAGAGAAAAATCCAAACTTCACTTGATTTCCCGAGCACTCTTTCTCTGCATTGCAACTTGTCAGGAGCAAGTTCCATGGCAAAGCAGCACCTCAATAACTTGACGGTTGAGTCATAATAAGTGATTTTGCGAGTCTGAACAAACTTGGGCAATTTGATTTGATAAAACTATTTTACTTCTCAGGCTTGGAATGTGTTTAGCTTGTTCGGTTGAACAGTCTAATCTGATTGACGAGCAGTTTTAAAATGGCGAGACCCAACAGATACAGCAGGTTATCCTCGTTCTGATATTAGAAATAAATGACGAACTGTACTTACGATAGTGTTAAATATAATAAATGTAATCTCGTATAAATGTGTAACTAGTTTTAATTTATGTGGTTAGGATTTTATTTGAACTAGGAAGCGTATTTTCACATCGATTTTACGAATATAAATACTGTCCGAAATCTTTCGATTCAAAATCTCCAAATCACTATAACCATGATGCTAGTCTACCAAAATTATTTCACGAAAAGGCTTACACCTGTTCCATACCGAACAACCGGAACACGTCTCACTCTATCCACCTCATTAATTCAGGTCTTTAGGTGTTATTCATGTTTTCACTGAGCCACTGGAGCCTATACCATACTTACAATTTTATTAAAATGTAAAATCCTTATTAATATACCATGTTCCAATTCGACCCTGTAGGGTTAGTTTTTGTAGCAGCACCCTGTCGTTGGAACTATCTATTCTACTGTATATGGAGCTGTTTTACAACCGTTACATTTTATAAATGTGTAACTTGAGTTAGGTTATAAAAAAAGCTCAATGTTCCTTCACTAGCTAGGATAATATTCTTCTCTAGAACTTACCTGTACTAAGATTAAGGTACATGACATATGACAAGTTTAAGTAATTTTTTTATATTAATTGAAATATTTAAGCAGTTAAAAATATATCTTTTACAACTACATTTGACAGTTATTTGCATGTGAAATTTACCTGATAAACATGCCTGATGATGTCAGGCACTTTTTTTTCCGACAATAATCAAACTTTATGTTATCATAAACACAGAATTATCAGTATGCATTTACAGTAGACGAAGTCAAACCTTATGGAATGTTTGTGTCAGCACTTGGCAGTATGAAGCAGCACAGTGTACTAAGTAAACTGTTATGTAAACACAACATTATCGGTATGTATTTACAGTAGGCAAAGTCAAACTTTATGGAATGTTTGTGTCAACACTTGGCAGTATGAAGCAGCACAGTGTACTAAGTAAACTGTTATGTAAACACAACATTATCGGTATGTATTTACAGTAGGCAAAGTCAAAACGTCATGGAGATCGATGATATTTTGCCAAAATAAAGTATATAATAATAATAAATTAGGTTTACTCACTCACGCACGTACACACTACTGTCACCATAACGATCAGTAAATAAGTTATTATACCAAACAATTTAAGAAAAACAGCATTCGTTTTCTGTTACTTTTTTTTTAATGATTGAACTCATTCATCATAATGTTGGAACTTGTACAGAAGAACTTAATGCAGGTAAATTAAAAAAAATAAATGTTTATCCTTTTCTTTTTTCTTTCCCAGTAGTGGTTCTTCATAATATATGTTTGTTGTTATTCTACAAACAAGTTTTGATTGTTTCAGGTATTTGCACAAAGCTTCGAAAGGGCAATATGTACTAACCATCCCCAATTTTAAACCAAAAGACTAGAGGGAAAACAACCAGATAACATCACCCACAAACCCAAAGTAAAGTTCTGCAGTATCAATAAGTAAACCACAGACCCTCAAATTCACTGACAAACTAACCACTAGGAAACATTGGTTCAACAGGTTTTGGAAATTATCCTGAACAACTCAAAAACTAAGATTTTATATGTATAAAGCCTAATGATAAACATTTAAGTATGTTTTAATCAATATATGCAAGGAAAGATTAAGTTATACTGAGAGTATATTCCGTTGTTGTTATCAATAAAAATGTTGCACATTGAAAAACATATATTATTATCTCTTATTTTATTTAAATGTTTGTCATACAATGTTTTAGGTTCATTTATTGCTTTGATATTTTTTAGGGTGTCATCTTGTTCATTTTTGCCTGACCCCTTTGTACAAATTTTTCACAGTAACATTTAAAATAAAATCACAAAACCTCAAATTTTAGACAACAATCTGGAAATACATGTAACAACTTATTTTTAGTTTTATTAAACACATAAAAAAAAGATAAAAAAAGCTTCTTAACAGATTTTTCTTGGAGTATTTATCTGCCCATCACTACCAGTATTCTGTTAATGCAATAATATTTCAGTTTTTTTTTTCTCATTGAATATATTCTATAGTATATTTTACAGCAAATACACTTTCAATCTGGCTACTAGTCAAAATCTGATTCTCCAGTGGCTGCCTTAATATTTAACTAAAAAGTATGTATATTATACAGCAAATACACTTTCAATCTGGCTACTAATCAAAATCTGATTCTCCAATGGCTGCTTTAATATTTAACTAAAAAGTGTGTATATTATACAGCAAATACACTTTCAATCTGGCTACTAATCAAAGTCTAATTCTCCAGTGGCTGCTTTAATATTTAACTAAAAACTATGTATATTTTACAGCAAATACACTTTCAATCTGGCTACTAGTCAAAATGTGATTTTCCAGTGACTACTTTAATATTTAACTAAAACTTATAAGAATCAAGTTACATCAGTGGATCTTATCACACACTTTTCACTAAGGCTTTCATGCATTTTCAAGTTGAGTCTGACACAGAACGATTTGTAAATATTACTCTACAGTATCGTTTTACCACAACCAAGATAATCTTGCTCTTTTTTGTCCTCTTTACCATTGTTTAATAATTTTACTTAGTCAAGAAAGGTCAGTCACAAAATACTTATAAGCACAACCTTTTAAATTCACCTTAGCTATTCATTTGAAACACAAATATTACACATTTCATAAACTAAATTCAAATTTTTTTATCAGTATAAAACATTTTTACTCTATATATACATATTTCATGCTTTCAGTACATTGTTCAATATAAGCTCAATCAAGACAGAACAATTTAAAAAATCCAATCTAACATTATATAATCATTTTTCATATTGCTACGAAAGTCACTCTGAACAAATTATGTTTCAGAGGGCATATTTTTGTTGTCCCAATGTAATAAGTTTTGTTAAACAGTTATTTATGGTTTCAGGAATACTAAATTTCTATGGGTATTTTTTATAGTGCAAGTGAATCCTTCCTGGAAATAAATGAATTTAGACATACAACTCTAAGATGACAAGTACTTGAATTCACAGTGATTTTGCTTAAAATGCAAATAGAAATTCAGAAATTAAAACTGCATGTCTCAAAACATACATGTTATAGTTTTGATGTAAAAAATTTTTTTATTATTTTTGGAAGTTCTTAAATGAAAATATTTCACTTTTGTGACGTATGCAGTTTGTAGTTTCAAGGTACTACTATAGGAATCAGGTTTCTTAGATTTGACTGAAGTAAAAGAAATATAATCATAGTCTAAATCCTTTTTTTTCATTGATAGTCAGAGACACAAGTTATACAATTTTCTTCAGAATCTGTTTATTCAGAGCATTTGTTAACAGTTGTGCATTCAATTTATTACTTACAATATTAATTACCAAAATAATTTTCATACAATTCCTGAAAGTCACAACATTTCTTAAATTTTTTTTTTATAAAATTTCCATGTTTTACTCATTGTCAGACATTTTCTTACAAATATAGCTATGAACTTGAAACAAATAATCCAGTTGTTTTTGTCAAAATTCAATAAAAAATGTAGAAATTAATAGGGTTATATAAGGCTTTGTTTTGAATGTTTTTATTCAGTGTCAAACACATGCATCAAGTATACTATTACACTTAAAATTAAGGTCAGCTACTTTTCCTGAAAACTCAAACTAAATTTAAAAGGGTTGTATAAAGACATAAAACAATTATAGTAAATACAGTTTAACACAACTGACTGTATAACTAAATATACCTTCATTAATTAAAAAATGATTTCATACAACCTTCACTGTTCTGTATAACTTAAACCAACACATAATGTATATAATGTAAACCATCACTGAGGTACAAAAACAGGCATATAATCACTTGGTTTACAAATTCATCTCTTTTAAAACATAATTTTAGAGTGAATAATCCAGACATTAGTTACTGTTTTGAATGTACAATAAAACCTTTTTTTTTTGTAAAGAATAGTCAAGTGTTGAACAAGCTGATATCTGAATTTTATCTGAATTTTCTAAAAGAATTAGAATCTACATTTGCTAAGAAAACACAGGGATAAAGAACATGTTGAATTTTATTCTTCAAATTATAAATTAAGTACTTCACATTTAGATTTTGAAAGGTTGAAATAAATACAGAACGTTAGAAAGAGCTTTCATATTATTACATGTTTTTCCACACATTTATTATAGTGCATTCAGAAATAATTTAATGTAATACTGTACTTACCAATTTACATTTTTATATGACATATAACTTCCTTTAGAAAGACTATACTGATTCAGTCATACCAGAAACTTCTAATTAAACACAAGAGCCCATTTCCTTATAAGGTAGTAGAATTAAAACAATCTATAATTATTTTTTTCATAGTTTACTAACTTAAATATTCAATAAGTATGCTTTACTAAAAAAATTCTATTCTGTTTTTTTAATATTTTTTTTTCTATCACCACTAAATCCCTGACAACAAAACAGAGAATAATATAACAGTTATCTAACCTATTAAAATTACATACCACATGTTACAATTATTGTCCTTTCATCTTACAAAAACATACATGCACTATATGCACATGTACATAATTTAAATAACGTAAAATATTTACGGAATTTTACTACAACCATAACACATGGATCCCAACAAGATAAAAGTTTACAGATATAGTTTCAAGATTCACAAAACTGTGCCTTACGTCATCACAAAAACAACTGACCGATATTAAAAACCATCAGAATAAAGGTTCAATTTATCTAGTTTGTTTCTTCAGAACAGCCTGGAAGAAGAGATAGAAAAGGAAAACTAAGTTAAAAGTATATTTATTAATTCTTTTCAGAATTTCACACAACCTTAAAAAGATCTCTAATTCTCAAGGCCTTACAGACTAAACAGTGTGGCTATAATAAGCAATGAAAATGTAAAACTGACCATATTAATGGCACATTTGTTTCATTCAAGATTATTGCTATTAAATGTTTGCAAGCATTAAATACATATCTAATAAAAAAGAGGAAGTAAAAATTTGAAAATATAAGGGTAGATATTACCTTCTGGTGTTTTCTTACAGCACACAATTTCAAATGAATAATTATTTAAAGAGTAGTGCATACAATATGACAGTCTTAATACAGAGATTTTCAACATGTGTGCTCTCTATAAACAATATTATGTTTGTTTATGAAAAATACTTAATACATTTTTTTGGTTATATGTTTATCAATAAGATTTGTTTAAATATCAGAATACTTTACTTAATTATTAAATTATATGAAACAGCTGCCAGATCTAGTGAATAATGAAGCTTTACACATGGAAAGTGTGATGAAACATTATGTAAATACTCTTTAAATTGAAATATTCAAATGTAAATAGTCTGATTACAAAGTATCTAATATACAAGTATGTACTATGATGCAGTGTTGGTTACAATGAAAATTACTGGTTTCATATTTTTCTGCTTGGCATGGGAACATGGATTTCGTTAGTTGTGTGAAGCCAGATAAAGTATTGTACTTGGTATTAAAGTTGAAAAGGAATCTAAGCCACATGTTAAATAATCATTATGCAAACACTTGTTAACAGTGGGTACACTTCACATTCAGAGAACAGAAAGCATTACTATTATCAATTAATTCCTCAATAGTTTTAATTCAGCTTAACACGTCAGCATACAACATTCCAGATAAGCTTGTAAAATGATCACACACTCTGGGGCTTTAACCACATTTACACAAAATTTGAAAAGAAATATGAAATGTTTTTTCAAATATTAACAAACCATTTAATTAATTGAACTTTGAATGTGGTAACAATGAAATCTGAAATGTCACACTAAATCAAGTTAAAAACGTTTTCATCCTCAACTAGCAATCACTTCTTGACATAACAAATAAGCTGTAAAAAAATTTCTTCACCAATATGTTTTCCAAAATGCTGGTTGACTAAATTTCCTAGGTACTGCCTTTCACTAATTCTATTTCCATGATATAACTATGGTTAGATTATCTTTCTAATTGCTCCAGTTTCTTAAAGAATAAAATTTTAATTCAGTTGGCATGGAATAGTAGGCATAACAACACGTGATTTGACTTGACAGTCTAAATTGTCAACAACAGACACTAAGTTTGTGTTTATTTTTAACCTCTCAAATAGTAAGAATAGCCAGTTATATCCACATGCCTGCCATCTACTGACTAAATTTGGTACTATGATCCAGGACCCCACATAACCCACTGGAAGTTTTTGACACCTTTTTAGGACATACACACACATCCCATGGGTAACAAGTGTTAAACAAGAAAAGAAATCCAACTTCTGACTTCAGCAGGTTGTAACATATTAATGAGCTTACTGTATAACCTATGATTTAATTTTTGGAATTTGTTATTTTGCAAAAACGCTGATGATAGCTAACCAGTTTGACTGCTGTGTAAATAAGAACACTGTATGTAGTTCTTAAAACACCTTAAAATGTACTTACATTGAATTTGAGGGGTTCTCCTTGAACACTACACAAAACCACTTCCACTAGTGTGAATACACTGATAACTTGGACAAGCTTGTCATCATTCACACTTTCTGTTTTCCACACTAGAGTTAGCTGTGGTACACCTTGTTCCTTCTTGTACTCCACTTTTTGTAGTGGCAATTTCTAAACAAAAAGCAGTACAAATCAAAATTTAGAAGTTATACAAGAACAAGACAATGAAAATTGCATTCTGTATCTCACACATTTCAGCATTTCCCAAATACCCAATACATGCACTTTTAGTTTAGTAAACAGAAAGTTCCAAGCTGTGTATCAAACAAATTTGATGGAGATTCTTTAGACAAAATGTCAGCACCTTATTTGTTACAGCTGCAGTCAACATTATTGCACTTATAAATATTATTTACATAACAATCAAATTTTATGTAAAAAAAAATCATGGTGAACAGTATTTTCTTAGGATTACGACAATTAACATTTTCATGACAGTCAAAAGATTTAAGTGTGAAAAATTTAATCTATCATACTATAAGTATTACATAGCAATTTAGTTTTGAGAATCCCTGTCTACTGGATGTGGCTATATGTTATACAAGCTTAGAAGTACAAAACATTCTAAATGCATTTAGTTATAAATCATAATATTTAGTAAAGTCTTCACTCTACTGATTGTTACAAAAACATATCCCACATCTTTGTAGATTTAGAAATTAAATTAAGAACTACAAGTTGAAAGTGATTTTTAAGTTATAAATCAGGTTGGAGAGCAATCATTGATGCCATTAAAGCATTTTAAGTTTCAAATTTCTATATATATATGTATGTATAAAAAGAATGCTAGACAACTGCTTCACTTTCTTTTCTGATTATTCATCTGTGCATATAGATTTCTTTACTGTTTTAACTTACACATCCTATGTATACAGATAATAACTTTCTTCTAGTTTTAACTTACACATCCTATGTATACAGATAATAACTTTCTTCTAGTATCTTAACTTACACATCCTATGTATACAGATAATAACTTTCTTCTAGTTTTAACTTACACATCCTATGTATACAGATAATAACTTTCTTCTAGTATCTTAACTTACACATCCTATGTATACAGATAATAACTTTCTTCTAGAATTTTAACTTACACATCCTATGTATACAGATAATATCTTTCTTCTAGTGTTTTAACTTACACATCCAATGTATACAGATAATAACTTTCTTCTAGTATTTGCATTAAAAAACAAGCAAACAAGTAAAGAAAAAACTTTCTGAAAAAAGAAGTAAATGTTGGGATGGCTAACAGCCATCTATGAAAGAAAAATGCAAACAAGATAGTAGGGATGGCATTTGCATCATCCATACATAATAACACAGGCACACAGTGTAGGAGAATGTTAATAGATAAAAACAGGTTAAATTAAACTCAACTGTGATTGAATAACTATATATATATATATATATATATA